ATTTTTATTTATTTATTTATTTTGGCAGAACCAGGGATTGAACTCAGGCCCTTGCGCTTGCCAGGCAAGTACAAGAAAAAGTTTTAGAGAATATACATTGCATAGCACTTAATTCTACATAGAACTTAATGTCTCTTATTAATTCTCAGAATCCCATGAGGAACAAATGGCTAATTCACAGGCCTGAGGAGATGAGCAGGCTTACAGAGCCCGGTGAGTTACTCAAGGTCTCATTGCTGAATTTCAGAGCAAAGACTTGAACTCAGACCTATGGGGTCCTTTGAGCAACACTCAGCATTGTAAAGCTCTGTGGGCTCGAAGGACTTGGCCCGAGCCCCAAGAGCCCAAAGGCCCTGAAACCAGAGTGCCCAGGGATGCATGCCATGTGTCCTGCCAGTGCCCTGAAGCTCACTGGCATGAGTCCTGATGCACCTCAAGAGCTGCCTCTCCCGGTCTCCTCCTCTCACAGGGGCTTCTCTTCTTGCCCTAGGGCAATGTTCTTCATCCCTGAGGATGGCCCACACCCAGGCTGTGGCCTTTTCCTACTTATGCCTGATCCAGCACCCTGCCCGGGCTTCCAGCATCTCCTCACCGGCCACTTTTGGTCAGCACGATGATGGCAGCAGCACAGCACTTGAAGGCAGCCTCCACAGCACCGATGGCAGTGACCTCCGTGGGGTCACGGCTCAGGGGTGCTGCCCGGCGTAACTCCTCAAACAGTTGCCGGTGGTACACTGCGGCCTCTGCCTCCCGGGCAATCTGCAGGCAGCGGGAGGTCAGGCTGGGCAGGGACAGTGAAGTCCAGAAGGGGTTTGGTTCCCCACCGGTTTGCTTCTCATCCTAAGCTCCTACCGCATGCTGCATCTTCACAGCCTCCACAGGGAAGTTGCCCTTGGCAGTTTCCCCTGACAACATGATGCAGTCGGCCCCATCCAGCACAGCATTGGCCACGTCACTGGTCTCTGCCCGTGTCGGCCGGGGCTTAGTGATCATGCTCTCCAGCATCTGGGGGTGCCACGGGTGGCAGCATTAGAGGAGGAACACTCCACTGGGGAGTCTGCCCACACTACTTCTCTGACAGACACCCCTACTCACAGACCCCTTAAAGCTTGCGATCAGAGTTGCAAGCTGTGTGGCCCTAGCAGTTGAGTTTCCTCATCTAAAAAACAGGGATCATAGTATCTCTACTGAACTTCATTGTTTGGGGGTCAAACACCAGAGAGCAGAACATGCTGTGGACCTAAGGTGTAGGTATTAGCCTTCAGCGTCCCCAAAACTTCAGTGTCCTAGCCCCGAGGGCTCACTCCAGACCTGTGTAGCACAGACCACGGGCTTGCCCGCCAAGTTGCAGCGCCCAATCATCATCTTCTGAGCCAGGAAAACCTTCTCAGGGGGGATCTCGATGCCCAGATCCCCTCGTGCCACCATGATGCCGTCGCTCACCTCCAGGATTTCATCAAACCTGGGCAGATGGAGGAATCAGGGCTGGAGAAGAGCCAGCATATGACTAAGGAGAGACGGGCAGAAGAAGAGACAATAAATGGCTCACTTCTTCACGCCTTCATGATTCTCGATTTTGCTGATAATTTTAATGCCCTGTCCTGCTGACCCCAAGGCATCCCGTACAGCAATCACATCGCTGGCTTTCCGCACAAAGGAGGCGAAGACGATGTCTACTCCATGCTCCACTCCGAAGCGCAGGTCCTTCAGGTCTTGCTCAGACAGGCTAGGCAGGTCCACCTCGGCACCTGGCAAGTTCACGCCCTTCCTGCTGCCCAGAATGCCTCCACTTTCCACTTCAGTCAGCAGTCCTTCTGGGCCTGAGGGCAAAGAGACAGTGAACTTCCATCAGCAGAGAGGTCGCATAAAGAGAAGGGGGCATGGGTTTCCAGAGGTTGGGAACAGTGTCTTCCTCTTTCTGCCCTTGTAGGTCCCACACAATTGGTACCAGATAGAAATCTGTGCCAGAGAAGAACAGCTCACGAGTTCAGCCCCACCCCATGTTAAGGATAGGAGTCTGGGTGTGGGTGATTCCCAGACAGATGGGGAGTGCAGCGGCCTAAGGTCGAAGGGAGCGCCAAGGGGCGGGCGGAGACCTCGCTCAGAGGTCAGGCTTCTTGGGGGAGGCTGGCGCATGCGCACCTATTTTGCGGACTACAAGGGAGATGAGTCCGTCGTCAACGTAGATGTGGCCCCCCACGGGCACGACCCGGGCGATGTTGCAGTAGTCCACCCACACAGTGTTCGCGTCTCCCCGAGTCCGGAAGGCCGGGTCCACAGTCACCAGCACCTGGGTTCCCTTAACAATCTCCACTTCTGCCTCGGGGCCCTAGAGCCCAAGCCAGGGAGATGAGCTCCACGCCCGGCCCCGCCCCCCAGAGGCCACGCCTTTCTCAGGCCCCGCCCGCCGCTCGGCCCCGCCCCCGCCTCTCACCCCCTGCAGGATTCCTGTGCGGATCTCAGGGCCTTTGGTGTCCAGAGCTATGCCCACCGGCCGGTAGCGCAGCGGGGAGGTCGCGAAGCTCTCCGCTGCCTCCCGGATGTTGGCAATAGACTCGGCGTGGTACTGGGGGCGGAGCGGAGCGGGACTTCAGGGAAGGTGACTAGGACCCGGCGTCCTCAGGCCCACCCTCCCCATTCCCCCACCTCGTGGGAGCCGTGGGAGAAGTTGAGTCGTGCGATGTCCATCCCGGCCTTGATCATCTCCTTGAGGCGCTCCACGGAGCGAGATGCCGGCCCTAGAACCAGAGACCCCGCTCAGATATTTTCCTCCCAAACCTCAGAATAGACCTGGTCATCCGTTTCCATTTTATTTATTTATTTATTTATTTATTTATTTATGTGCTGGAGACCTGGGCTTTCCCGCGTAAGCCGCTGAGCTATCTCCTGGGCTTTAATTTTTATTTTAGTCAGGGTTTCGCTAAACCGCTATGTAATCCATGCAGGACCTGAATTTGAAATCTTCCTGTCTCTGCCTCTGAGTGCTGGGATTATGAGTTTGCCCCACTCCTGGCTCCTCTGGATGATTAATACAGGCCTCAACCTCGACCCATCCCAACTGGACTTCTGCTAAAGCTCCTGTAACTTTCCACCAGTCTGCCCAGTTGATAAACCGCCACCTTGCGCCTTCCGGTTTCTCTTTTCCTCCCCTTCACCCGGTCTGTCCAATCCATCCTTCAGGAGATCCTGTGGGCTCCGCCCTTCACCGAGCCTTCAGAATCCAACCACCTCTCACGCCTCCACCGCCACCACCCGGGCTGAACCAGAAGCGCAGCTGGAGCAGCTTCTGACCTCGCCCTAACCCAACCCAACCCCAGTCCATTTCAGTCCCAGCAGCCAAGTGGTTCTAAAACAGGCTGGCGTTGTGGCGCACGCCTGTGATCACAGGTCTCAGGGGGCTGAGCCTGACCGGTCGCCTGAGTTTGAGGCCAGCCTATGCTACATAGTGAGTTCAAGGCAAGCCTAAAATACATAGCAGGACCCTGCCTCGAAAAACCAAGAATCATACATACATAAGTATAGACCTAGAGCTGGTTGTCCGCTTGCTCGAGACCCTGTAGTCTCAGCCACACGTGGAGGACAGCCCCATTCTAACAATGGCCCGTGAAGCCTCACTCTGTCCTCCCTGCCTCCTTTCTCTTCCCATCTGCTTCCCTTGCCTAATGCTTTCTAGCTACTCTACCTTCCTATCAGCTTTCACTCAGTGCTACCCTTACCTGCAACTCTCTCCAGCTGTCTGCAGAGCTAATTCCCCGATGTTAGTGGCTGCCCCGCTGTCCCTATCTAGGGTTGCAACCTGCCTCCCATTTCAAACCCCTGATACCCCATACTACACTACATTTCTCTTTTCTCCCATAGTATTTATTATTCTCCAACACATTACTTATTTTGCAATTTTTTTTTTTTT